CGACGCACCCACCAGGATTATGGGCAGCTGCTGCAGCTCGCCAGACATAACAATAGTCAGCGCTGGTCTGATAAACAGCATATCATGGCGACCTATGCTGACTTTGGCATCAGACCATCTGCCCATAGTCATCTCGATCGATAAACCAACCGACTTTGCTTCCGCGGAGCACCGAACATATACCAACTTTTCTAAAGCTGATTGGAAAGGCTTCGCGGAATTTACTGAAAACACCTTCGCTGCTCTCCCCACACCAACCGACGTCCACCTTGGTGAACGTACGTTCCGCAGGGCTGTTACCGCTGCTGCAGCTCGCTTCGTACCGGCAGGATGTATTACGGACCCACGTCCAAATTTCCCTGCTGAAGCGCCGGTTCTAGCCGATGAGCGTGATAGCCTTCGGCAGGCCGTATCAGGGATCTCAACGCGGAGATTCGGCAACTAGTAAACGTACATAAGCGGAAGAAGTGGGAAGAGCATCTGAAGACCTGTAACTTCACCTCTGGTGTGAGTAAGCTTTGGTCAACCGTGAGGTCACTGTCCAAACCGACGAAGCACGACGACAGAGTCGAAATTTCTTTCGGCGGCCATGCTTCGTCGGACCCGGAGCGATGCGCAAGCTATTTTAGCCGGCAGTTCATACTGCATCCTCCGGACAAAGCCAAGCGTCGAGTGACCAGAAGGCTGCACAAACTGCCAACAACCTGTGCCCCCCTTGCTTTTACTTGCGGTGAACTTCAGGTGGCCATCGGAAAGGCGAAAGCCTCCAAAGCCATGGGTCCCGACGGAATATGCATGCTGATGTTGAAAAATGTGGGTCCTGCGGGGGTAGCGTACCTAACGGAGGTCCTCAATTTGTCTATGGCCACTCTCATCATCCCAGACATCTGGAAGGTGGGGAGAGTGGTCCCACTGCTCAAACCGTGGAAACCTGCCAACATAGGAGATTCTTATCGGCCAATAACACTCCTTTCCCCGGTAGCGAAGACAAACCACTTGACCACAGCGAAGCATCAGCATGGTTTCCGTAAAGTGCACAGTACAACAACAGCACTTAACGCCATAAACACTCAGATAACTCGTGGCCTTAACCGAAACCGTCCCTGTGAGAGAACGATTCTGGTAGCGTTGGACTTGTCAAAGGCGTTTGACACCGTTTGCCATTCCACGCTACTAGAAGATATAGAGGCTTCCTCTCTCCCACAGAGGCTCAAACGGTGGTCGGAAAATTATCTGAGTGGTCGACACTCGTCGGTAATGTTTAGAGACAAATCGAGTAAACTTAGAAAAATAAAACAGGGGGTTCCACAGGGTGGTGTCTTTTCCCCGCTACCGTTTAACTTTGACATTTCAAAGCTCCCTCAACCTCCAGAGGAAGTCTCGATTGTCTCTTACGCCGACGATTGCTCGATCATGGCGACTG